TGGGGCATTCCACATGAACTCAACCAGCCTGAAAATAGGAAAGTTTTCCAATCACTTTAAAATTTTTATAATCAATAGTCCTACCAACAACAAAGTTTCTGTTAAAATTTTGTTGAGCTAGTGCAACGGGTTGCCAAGTTACAGGGGCTTGAATTTTGTCCACTCCAACCATCAGATGTACTTTGTAAGATACATAACTTGTCTTACAATATTCCGATTTGAACAAAAAAGTAGTGATTTGGAAAGCTTTTTTCACGTACTTTCATAATAAAATAAGTATTATTTAAAAAACTTGTAAATTTGGCGTTATTTTTCAAAATTAATCTTAAATGTCTATTTTTCTCAAAGATGGGTATCTTCGATTCGAATAGAAAAAATTTAGAAAAAAAGAAGGATTCTTTCCTAACAAAAAAGTCTCTAAGTTCCAAGATGGTGAATTCAGTAGTTTTTGAGATACAGACAGATTTATGAGCGGATGAACGGAACGCGCTTCATGCCGAGTCGCGCCATATTGCCTTGCGTCCGCGAGGCGCGCCGAGATTTTCCTAATATTTATTGCAATAAATAATATTTTCATAATGAAACGACGGACATATTGTACGCTTTCTCGATTTTGCCGCTTGCTGTTTGCTGTTCGTTCGGTTCAACTTCAACGATCTGCGGCAAAATGTATTTTGCGCCGGAAGTGCGTCGTCTAGCTTACATAAAATTCTTAACCAATAGTAACGAATTGCTGCTGCAGCGTGCTGCGCATGAAAAAGCATCTTTACGCTATTCTGCTGCATGGGTTTGCACCCTCAGTCGTACCGTGGCCGCCGTTAAAATCGGACGTTCAGAATTTGGGGTCCGCAAAGCCCCCGTGTGCGTCGAACGTAATTGGAGCAAAAAAATAATTTTTTTTTAGTGTTTGTGCGTGCATCGAAAAGAACCAAAGGTAATGTTCATATCCCCGTAATATTTAAAGAAAAAATCCTGTAATGCGTATGTTGTGGCATTGTAGATGGCATATAATCTTCGTTCGCGGCCGTTTCGCGAGATCCTCGTTGATACTGAGGACGAAGTTTCCCAGGAGGGGGAATTATCTGACGTAAAATCTGACAACGTGTCAGAAGAATCGAACGAAAATTCTGACGCAATAAGCAGCGAGTCAGAATACGAAGACGCTGAACCCGAAGAAAGTGAAAGTCGCGCACGTGGTCGCCCAAGCAAAGTGCGCGGGAAAAATGGCTTTGAGTGGAACAGTAAGGCGCCGTCGAGGAGATCTGGTACGTTCTAGCGTTTCGGTTATATTTTGAAATCGGCTATTTTTTATTATATGTATTATACATATGTATTATACGCATATATGTAATACTACTATGTGGCTAGTGAGGCGTGGTTTACATGAGTGCGACAAGAAGAAACATAGAAGGATAATAGATGCCCGTTTATTGGTTGTCAGGGAGAGATGTTCAAATCGTTCAAATGCACAGGTGCGGCGTTAAATTCAACTGCTTTATTAAGCAAAATTAGTTACTTTGTATTTAATACAAAATAAGATGTTAGCAATAGTTTATTATGTTATGAGAAGAATGGATATATGTGAAAATATTGGTTTCCGTAAAATATTTTCAAGTAATAAAGTTATATATTAATATAAATAAAACGTAACGAAGACAATGAGAATTTTACCGTATAATCTTTTCAGCTGTTTTACAAATGAAACAAACATCTGATGCTGGCATTATATATGGTCCTTGATTCTTTACGTTCGATAACAATGGCATAGTATTGTCTAATAATTGTAATTTACAAGTTGAACAATATATTTTTTTGTACACTTTATTACACACATAACCTGCTATATATACAATACGACATTCTTCACAAACGGTGACAAATCCCAAAATGTTTTTACATAATAGTGAGCAAAATCAATCTTTAATTCATTGAAATTACTGGAATCACTGATAGTAATAACCAGGGTTGGGTAAGTTACTTTTTTTTTTTTAACTAAGTTAAGTTAAAGTTAACAACCTTGAAAATTTAACTTAGTTAAGATACAAGTTAATGTATAATGAAATTAATTGAATTAAAAGTTAAGTTAATAAAAAAATGTAATTGAAAAGTTAAAAGTTAAAAAATTTTTTTTTTCATGATTTCAGGGTTTCAGTCACAATAATAACGGAAGTGATAATAGAACAAAAACTATTTAGATTTTAGAGCATATCCAAAATTTTATTATATTAATATTTTTTATAATAATATATATATTTTATAATGTTTTGTTTCTATATATATA